TTTTCTTGTCCCCTGAAATGCAAATGATCTCGTTACTTATTCTAGTTACTTAAGTAGTATTTTCTTTTTCTTTTTCTTTTTCTTTTCTCGTTCTCTTTTATAATTATTATTTATTTACACTTTCTTCCCTATAATTCCTTATTCTGGTTTCATTTTCTTTAAATTACCAAATCCACCATCGCGGTCCCTCGACCCGCAGCTGAAGGAGGGAAAATTGTGGCTGCAGCTTCCTCTTCGTCCTTTACCGGCCGGTTGGTCCTGACCTGTTGATTGTTCCCCAATCCTCCGCCTTCTTATACTACTTAATACCTGCTAGTATTATTGCTGCTACTGCTGGTCTTCCCTCCCAGTCCCCGCCTGACGACCTTGCCTCTTTCTGTCTTTCTACTTTTCTTTCCTTCTCCTCTATACTCCTTTCGGCTTGACGCAGGGACATCAGAGAGAAAAGAAAAAAAAAAAAAGAAAAAGGAAAAGCAAAATTAAAAAGAATTTCTTTTACTTTACTGACTTGCCCTCCACCGTTTTCTCGTATTCCCCACGTGTGTATCTCTGCTGCTCTTCACTGGGGCTGCGGCTCGAGGTTATTTTTGGACGCCGCATTTACTGAGCCAACCGTGGGCTGTAATTTCTGGCCTCCGATCAGATTGGGTTTATCATCTTCTGCTCTTACTTCTTATAATATCCCGGCCTGGCCCATCTCCGCATCTGGTCTCTCCCCTCCCCCCATCTTTCTTCTTGTCAACTGTCACTATTCCTATTACTGCTTCTCCTCCTTGCCTGAGTCAGTTCCTGTGCTCAAGCTTTGACTCTCTTGTGATTGTTTCATCGTTTCGTCTTTGACCCCACCGCACCTCTCTCTGTTCTCTTCCTCGATTTCACCGTTTCGTTAGCCTTCATCGTCGCCATGGCTGGTCCCGGTGGTGGCCCTCCTCGCAAGAGCCACACCAAGTCTCGCTTCGGCTGCAAGACATGCAAGCGGCGGCACATCCGCTGTGACGAAACTTTCCCACAATGGTATGTCTATTTGTTGTTTGCTTGCCATCTGCAAACTGCAGCTGCGTGGAATCGCTGCTGACCATCACAGCCGGAACTGCACGAAGCACAACTGTCGCTGCGACTACATGGATGTTGCCACGGTCCACGACGACGCATCTTCTATGCGCAACGTTCCCGACCTGCTCATGTCCGCCGAAATCGAAATGGAGATCAAAAACTGGCAGTTCACTGGCGTGGCTCCGTTTGCTGAGCTGCTGCAGTTCCCGCGTACCTGCTGGACGAAGCTCTCGCTGACTGATCTGCGCCTGATTCATCACATTGTTGGTCTGTCTATTGATCTCCAGCGACGCGGTCTCGCTAGCTGCACCATTTGGGCGCAGAAGATGCCTACGTAAGTGCGGCCTGACGAGCAAACAGGGTGGCAGATTTACTGATGTTTGTATAGGTTTCTCGCTATTGCCATTTCTAATGACTTTGTCATGAGCGCCATCCTGACCATGTCCGCCTCCCACCTCGCCTGGATCACCCGCAACCAGGAGACGAAACAACTCACATATCACCACCGGAGTGTTGCTATCCAGGGCCTACATAATGCCCTGGGGGCGTTTTCCAAGGATAACTGCGATGCAATTCTGGCTGCCTCGATTATTCTGTCGTGGCAGGCGTCGGAGTGGCAGAGCTGGGCGTCTTTGCAGCAAGGTCTTACAACGGTAAGTATCTTTATCTTTTGCGCTGATAGCGAGTCTGACCCGAAGCAGGTATTGGGTTCCATGCATCCGATGTGGAAGCAAGAGTCCGAGTTGGCTATGTTCCTGGAAAATCAGCGGTATCTGGGGTGCACCAACACTCCCGTCATGTCGGGCTACCAGTTCCAAGACGAAGATTTGGCCAGCCTCGACCAAACCGTCGTGGCACTCCAGGCCCTGCAGAAGCGGGTTGCACATAACCATGAGCACTACCGCCGCATCGGGGAACTCTTGGAGTTTGTACGACACTTCCAACGAGACCTCCTCTCGCAAACCCCCGAACAGGCTTTTGAGCGCATGCAGCCGCTACGGAGGTGGCTGTTCTGGCTTCCGCCTGCCATGCTGCGACCTGAAGATGCCGACATCGGCTCGCTAGCCATTTTGGCCCAGTTCTTCGGGGTTGGAGTGGTCCTCGACAGCCTCTTTCCCGACTTGGGCGGTGCGTACCTGGGCCCGCTCTCCATCGGTCCGATCGAAGAAATCTACCGCATGGTAGTTGCTCGAAGCACGGCCGATCCTTTCCACCCTGATGCACACCTCGCATTATCTGCCATGGACCTTCCCCGTCATATAGTCGCCAAGTACAAAAGCCGGCTCCAGTGGTCTCCGCGCACCTCCCTTGACCACTACTCTCCTGCACCTCCCAGTCCGTATCACAGCATCCACGATTACCGCCTCGCTTCATCCTCTCCGTCTTCCGCCTCCGCCACGTACGCCCCTTACACCCCGCCTCTGCAGTCCCCTCCCGAAGTGACCATCGCCAGCCCCCCGTTTGATGTCAGCGGAGCCTATGTGACGGCACCGGCGTCGCAGGCCTTGTATCCGAGCTCCCCACGGCTGCTCTCGGACCCTCGTGACGATCTCTCGGATTACAGCCACGCGGGATCTCTGCAGCACTCCCCTGCGTTTCCGCCCCCATATCTTGGCGACGTGGTGTGCGGGGGACTGCCACGGGTGAACAATGGCGGGCTGGGGCTAAACATGCAGCTGTACGAAGAAACTCCGGTGATGGTTGGAGGGTACAACACGGCACCCGAGAGGGGATGGCACTAGGAGAACCTTGGAGTGATTTCAATTCTTTTCCTATGTTTTAATTTTATCATCATTAGCTACGGAGCGGATACGGAAAACGGCATAAAGCGGGATCAGATGAACTGGGATAGGACCGCCAGGGTGTTTTGGTTTGGATTTTCTTTTTCTTTTGTCTTGGCTTTTTACTTGGGATGGGCGAAATAGAGGGATGGGATTGGAAACTGAAGCTGCCTGCTTGGCTGGTTGGTTGCTTATTTTCGTATGCTAGCGATATGAGTGATTATTTTGATCTGCATGCATGCATGACTGACTGAACTGTTTGGTTGGTTGATTTGATTTGATACTTGTTTCTCATGATACGCTGAAGTGCGTGGGATGATGTTCCTAATGTGATGTGACGAATAACCGATAAGGTCTATACCCAAACTAATAATGAACTACACTCGAGATCGACTCTGCAATGCCAAGAAATAAATAATAATAGTTGTAGATGAAACAACGACAGTTTCACCACTTATCTAAGCGAAAGATCGTATGCATGATCACCGTGCCCGACATCCTAGCAGGAACAGAGCAAGAGTAAGTATGATTTTTCTAATCAAAAGAACATCCCACCCACATGTACTAACTTAGTTACTCCCTATTTCATCCCACCCATCATACCAGCTAAACTTCATATAGTCTAGTTAGTTTTAACATGTATATAGCCCATCCAATTAATAAACCAGGATTGTCATCCATCCTTCCCCCGCCCCCTGGTAGAGTGCAGATATATACCCTGTAATGAAGAAAGACTACTATCGTCGAGGAGTGATGATCTACACGGCCCCCATGTAACACGTGTCTTAGGGCCGTGTTTCTGGTGCTTCTAGCGCTGGGACTAAGCATGGATGGGAGAGGGGTCAGAAACCCAACCCCCATGCTAGTAGTAGTAGTGTTTACTTACTTACATAGTTACGTGATTACGATGGATTAGGAAGGTAAGATTTGTTTAGGTTAGATTGGTTGGGGTAGGTAGGATGAGGATGTGGATGTGTGTGTGCATGACCAGGATGGATGTCTGTGCAATTTACTTGGCGAAAGTCATTTTAGTGAGTACTTACTAACTCCATAAGGATGTGGTGGTGGTGTGATGTGACTACTACTACTACTTACTGACTAGTAGGATTAAAATCCCAACAGGGTTTGAGCTGAAACCAACAGTTACTATTTATTTATTAATCTATATTGTGCTGGTGATTGACCCCCTCCCACGTTTTTTCTTTCCGTCTTCCGTCTTCCGTCTTTTTTAGTCGGGTTGGTTAGTTAGGCTGTCAGCTACGTTACTTACTAGTAGTGATTTAGTTAGTTCGGTATTAGGTGGTTTATTTGGCCACGTGTGTCTTAGTCTAGTCTAGCTTCTATCCCGTTGTTCTAGTCTAGTCTACTTGTATCTCGGCTATTAAGTTAGTTAGGTGCTCGCTTGTGACGTCGATGTTTGATTATTTTTTTCTTGCTGGTGCTTGCTTATCTGCTTGGCGGGTTTGTCTCTTGTCTTAGAAGTAATCTGCTATTGAGTGGATCTATGTAGTAGTATCTGGTAAGGTCTGAAATGGGGTACTACTACTAGTACTATGGCTGTGGCTGTGGCCTCGGGGTATTTCCGGATCGTAGGCGGGTCAGTCAGTTAGATACTGAGTAAGTAGTTGCTAGGGATTTTTTGTGCTAGTGAGTGTTGCTGATTCAGGTGTTGTAACTTATGTGTGGTCTGTGTGTAAATGAGTCATCACTGAATTACTTGCCATGTTTAGATCATGTAGGATGTTTTGTTGGGAGTGTAATATGTCTGAATGGATGGTGATATTAGGCCTACACTGCAAGGCTGTGTATGTTGTATGTCGTGATCAGTCATGTAGGTGAGGCTTTGCTGTCGCGCTTTGATGCGCGTTTTGTATTCTGCTTAGCTAGTGATCAAGATTTGTTGGTTCCCGGTCCTGTTCCTAAGTTATGACAGTGGAAGTAGGCTGTGCTGTGCCGTGCTGTGTTGGACATCTGAAACGATGTCAAAGCTTTTGTTGAGGGGTACTGCGGGATTATCTATCCTTCTGCTATGGCAATCTGATATCATATTTGGAGATGGAATCCTTCCGTAGCTAGTGGAAAGTGACACACACTAGTCTAGGCAGTTCCTAGCAATGTTGGAAATCCATTCAGATATCTGCAAATACAACACTGGTGCCTGGTCGATCATTCCTGCACTGGTTGATCGTGTTGCTCGTCGAAAATGTCGAAGCCAATGTGGTGTTTTGGATCGAGGTAGCGAACTTCTCCTTTCTTTTTTGATATATTGGATATTGCTGCCATGTCTTCGGTAGGTAACTGTTTCAAGTCGAGGTTCTCTACCATTCTCCTCTCCTGGACAGTCTGGGGAATTACTGATATATTTTGTTGGACGATCCAGGATAGTATGGTTTGGGCTGGCGAAAGCCTATTCTTTACCGCTATTTCGGCTACCTTGTAGATATTAGTCTCCGTAATTATCACAGGCATTGGGGGGACCGACTTCTGGGTCGCTCAACGGACCTGGTCGGTCTGCGTTCGGAATGACTGCGGCTACTGGCTTGCCGCCGAGTGGCTGGTGAGCCACTACGTGAATTCCCTTAATTCTGCAGAAGTCCACAAGCTCAACTTGGGGTAAATACCTAGCGGGTCTCAAGTCAATCCAAGCGCACACAGTAGGACGGCTCGAGTACTCACGGGTGGAGTTAGATCTGATCAATTGCAAGAGGAATCCTAGCTGACTCGAGAAGTTTCTTCAGCTTTAGGATATTGAAGTTGGAGACCCCTAATCATAAGAGCGTCTGCAAACCATGTCAGGAGGTGCAGGCCTACCAATCGTTCTTGCTTTCCCCTTCTTGATCAGTATCTCCATAGCTGTCCAGGTCGATGGACAGTCTCTCAACATTCCATAGTCGATAATTGGCTATCGTTAGAGAACCTTAGTACACCGTAGTAGGATAAGGGGATGATTAAGGTATCTAACTTTCCGTTAGGATGTCGGTTTGTGTTGTTATCCGGTCCAGGGCTGTATGCATGGGGAACTAGAAATTATCGGTGGTTAGCGTTTGGAAAGGGGCCTCTATAGCAATCTGTATTAGCCCTAGGAGTGATATACAATTGTTATAAACAAGCCATATTTCAGTTGCAGTCTGCCTAAGCTGAGGCTACGTCGGAAACACAGTGCCACGTCTGAGCTCTGAACAAAGAGTCGGTCTCCCGGTTGCAGCCACAAGCGCAGGTGCTTACAGTTTAGTGATAACAATGATCTCTTCCCGGGGTATCCCGCTCTCCTTGATAGCTTTGCCGACCTCCCTCTCATTTCCATAAGCAGTAGCGGTGTCCATGTGTCTGTAGCCGGAGCGCAGTGCTTGCAGAACAGCCGAACAGCCCCCTTGGCGTTTCCATTGCCATCATCACCTTGAAAGGTGCCGAAGCCGACAGCTTGGAATGCAATGTCAGAGATGAAAAAAGGATGCGGGTGACATGATCTTTGAATATGCTGGGAGGGAAGGAGAATGACAAAGAAACAAACCAGAGATGGAAGAAATACCCCGCCCAAGTACCCCATCCACCGACAGGGGTGCTGCTAATCTCCACTCGGTGGGCGCTTACCATCTTTTCGACTTGCATGTCTTCTTATCTGTAGTACTCTACTAATCAGATGCATGCCATAACTACTGCGAAGATAATACGCCAACTGGATTTCTTCTAATGAACAGAGTTTCGCGCACTATTCCGATACTTACAAGAAGCCCAGGGAAATAAAGAAAAAAATATCATGATAAGACTGAGCCATCGCGACCGAAAACTACTATATATATATGCCTTGATGGAAGGTGCAGATGTTTGGGACCAAAATATCATAACTGGCCCAAGATTCCTTATAAGTTGTCACAGGACATTTTGGCGTACTCCTCGTAGCCTCCCGGGTACTTTGCAACGAGACGTCTCATTTCTTCAACCACCCTGGCATATGGTTAGCAACTTAGGGGCCAAGAGAAATTGAACTCGACTTACGAATTTCGAAAGCTAGTATCCTCGGGGAAGAGGGCCGCGGCTTGTAGATTAAAGCGCCTGTTCCGAATAAGAAATCCTTCATAAAAATAAGTCGGATGGGTTCTTACATCGAATACAGTGCATTCCGGTCATCGTAGTCCTCTGTTGGGGCAGTCTTTGGAATAATAGAATGATAAGCATCAAAGAAGCTTCTGTCAAACCCATTTCGCTCAGGACGCCAATTGCCCAATTCGTCTGCAGGACCACGTTAGTGAAACTCAAAATTAGACTTACCAATAGCACATACACTCATTGTGCGCATAAAAGCTCGCAGGATCATATATCAGCGGCTGTTCTGTGGCTGAATCGACTGCGGCATTTCCGCACCACAGGTCTCCATGGACGAGGGATGGCTTGATGGACCGCCCTCCTGTTTCCATTGGCCTTAACAAGCGGGGGATCACTTTGTCAATCATAACAGTATCTAAGCCTTCCAGCTCAGGCCACGGCCCACCACGTTCTAGGTTCATATTTATCATGTGCCTCAATCCAATCGTGAAGAATTCCTCCCACGTGTCAGTGTAGCCATTCTCCTGAGGCAGGTCGCCGTTGTATGTCACAAGGTGAAACCCGAATTTGCCGCTTGGCGAATCGCTGCTCGAATGGAGAAAGGCGATCTCCTGGCAAAACTCTGCTGGCTTGAGAGCATGTTCCGCAAAGTCGTAGAAACGACAGATATAATAATGTGCTCCTGCAAGAGCTTTGAAGGATCCCCATCTGATTGGCATGGGAGTGAAGCTTCCGACGATGTTGTGGATTGCCAAAGTAGATTCGAATTCTCCCTTGAGAGCTTGCCTACCATGATCCCCAAATGATATCTGCCAAGAGCATGTTTAGCAGATCAAAAAGCGTGGCGGATTTTCCAATGTGCTTAAGTGTCGTAGGAAGAGTTACCTTCATGAAATAGCTATCTGTCTCTTCCTGAGCTTCGACATCAATCCGATATCTCTGAGCCCAGGCCGAAGAACCAAGGCTAACGACTTTCAACGGTCGACGGAAGAGCGCAAGTTCTGTTATTACTTTTATTATTATTCAAACTTAGGATGCAAATACGTAGCCAACACAATCATACCAGATAAAACAACATGGTCAATGACACTTTTCGTCGGAATGCCGTCTGACACAATTACTGGGAGACTGGAAACGAGGTTGGTTGACCATCGCACTGCGACATGATGGCAGCAAATTGGATATGAACCTGTATGAGGCAGATGCAGTCGATGCAGTCGATGCGCGATGTCATTGAATTGATGTGGGACTGTCATAAGTATTGAAAGCAAAGGAATGAAGTACCCCGCCGTGGTTGCCGTGTTCAACGAGCAGGGGTGTGATGGTGCCAATCTCCACCGGGGAGCCACTTGCTTAGCCCCTACACATACTTTTCCAAAGGAATTCCTTCCAATACAGCCATGACTGGGATCAAGGAACAATGCGGTGGCAAAGGAATACCTATTTAAGAACCAAACTGACATCACTCCAATATTATAACGTTGGATCGCCCCCTTCAGGGAGAAGAAAAAGTATTAATATCTGCAGACCAACATAATGGCGACTAATCATGTCGACAGTTCACAAAGCGTCTCTGGAACACTTCTCTACGGATTTCACCAATTCTGAGACCACCTCTTCTCTCCACAACTCACCTTGTGGACACTGGCTAACAGTATGTTGCGGACACGCTGATTTCCATGGCAAAAAGTCGCAAACCCGACGGGATTATGGCACCGATGACCATAGAACACCTCCCCATAAGTCGATTGAAACAAAGCATCCACATTGGCTCGACAGAAATCAATAACACCAGTGATAAGCCAAGAGTCAATCAACGAATTATACACTGCGCAGTGTGTCGCACTGCATCCTATAGCCGCTCAGTCTGCATGAGTGCGATAGCACGGTGGGCAGCGCTTAACCGAGACATACGACTGGCTCGCGCAACGGGTATCCATTCGCTGTGCAGAATCTCAAAATAGACCAATGCAGGGAGTCGTAAGCGAGCAGTTCCCAGTGAGGGGCACTGATGATGGAAGATTTGGAATTTATATCACCTACCAGCACCTGGCACCCCTGCTTCTTGATGGTTTAGACGTCGAGAAAGTATTGTAACGATATTGGTATGCTTTTGTAATGGATAAGGTTAGCCTTGCAGCATGAAAATCTGGAAAGCAGACGCTGAAAAGAAACAGTCGAGAGGGCATGGCTCTACGGCGGAGAGTTATGGCTGGTTCAGGAGGTCGTTCGGCAGGCTCCGTATCGATCGAAGAATCAATGTTGCTCAAAGGCATACTGCTCTTAGTGACAAGCCCTTACCTGAGAGTGAAGACTTTAAAGGACCTCTAGGTCTTCAACTGCTTCGCACCGTTTCAGAACCGCTCGTCGACTTTATCTTTATCCACGGCCTCGGAGGAGGGTCTAGGAAAACATGGTCCAAATCACCAGACCCCTACCATTATTGGCCCAAAGAATGGTTATCCCAAGACCCAGAATTTAACAGCGTGCGTATCTACAGCTTTGGATATAAAGCTGATTGGGCCGAAAAAACGGCCAGTATTCTGAACATCCATGACTTTGCGCTGTCCTTGTTAGGAGAAATCAAATGCAATCCAGACATTCGTCGAAGTAATGTGAGACATGCACCTACCTCTATACCTACTTCCAACTGATGAACCAAAGACAAAATTGGTACTTGTTGCACATAGTATGGGCGGGCTGGTTGCGAAAAAGGTAGAGCATTCCATGTCCAGTTCCGTCCGTTTCTGGGCTCACCATCCCACATGCATATATTCTCGCTCGAGAGGACCCTACTCTGAAGGAGATTGCAGCGCGAATACATACATTATACTTTCTCGCCACGCCTCACCGGGGCTCCGATCTTGCAACGACTCTCGCAAATGTCCTTAGGGTGTCCTTTGGGCCCAAGCCGTTTGTTCTAGAGCTAGAACGAAACTCCGACTCAATCCAGTCTATAAATGACAGTTTTCGACATGTTGCGGATTACTTGCACATATGGTCCTTCTACGAGACTCTTCCGTGCAGTTTCAAGTTGACAAGCGCTATTATTGTTGACAAAACCTCAGCCACTCTAGGCTACTCAAAGGAGCGATGCTCACTTCTGAATGCGGACCATAGGGGCGTGTGCAAATTTGACAGTCCTGCAGACCCAAATTATAAGACAGTTCGGAATGCTTTTGTCACTACCATCGATTCCATTGTTTCTCAGGGTCAGTGGCTTCCGCCGTCATACATGCCGAGGTTATTCTTACCATTACTATCATAGATTCCGAGGATGCGAAGGCGGCCTTGGAGAAGCTGTCCAAATTGACCGGCATCAGTGATGCTCCAAATAATGACCGTTTGGCGCTGGACGAGCTGCGGACTACCGGAACCTGTGAATGGCTGACAATGAGGAAGCAATATGCTTCGTGGAAATTGGGAGACTCCGATCGGGCCATCTTCTGGCTCACGGGTAATGCTGGCTCTGGGAAATCAGTCATTTCGAGCTCTATAATCGACGACTGTGTTCAGAGCAATCTCCCATGCAGTTATTTCTTCTTTAAGCATGGCGATCGAGACAACTCTACAATTACTAAGTGTCTTTTATCACTTGCCTTTCAATTGTGTCAAATGGATAAGAAGATCCTAGGGCAACTTACCAAGGTCTCACCCGATTCTAGCACGTGGGAGCAATTGGACGAGCGAACATTGTGGCGTGAGATCTTCATGGAGTTTATCTTCAAGGAGCTGAAGCCTACTTCACGCTACTGGGTCATCGATGCTCTCGACGAGTGTCTCAAACCCTATCTCCTTGTTTCTTTACTTACAGAATGTCCTCCGTGGTTGCGAATTTTTGTTACGAGTCGCAACGGGCTGAAAATGTCTCGATGCCATCCATCTCATTATCACACCATTGGGGAATACACTTTACAGCCCCAGGATACGATAGATGATTTGAGGACATTTGTCAACTCGAGGTTTCAGTACCTACCCATCGCAGCTGATGACGATCAGGGAAGCTTTCAAGCCAAAATCCTGGATCTGGCTAATGGGTCCTTTCTATGGTTATCTCTCGTAATTCGGGAGCTCGAGACCACATTCTCCGAAGAAAGCGCAGAAAAAGTTATCAGTGAAACGCCTATGGAGATGCACAATGTCTACACGCGAATATTACAAAACATACCGGCCCAGAGCCATGATTTGGTTCGGTCCATCTTTACCTGGACGTCGCTAGCGATGAGGCCACTTTCCGTAGAAGAGTTGAAGCATGCCATTAAGATCGACACCGGTGAAACAGTTCACAGATTGGAAGATGCTATCAACACCAATTGTGGACAACTCATTAGAGTTGGCCGAGGAAATGAAGTTCAATGTGTTCACCAAACTGCTCGAGCATTTTTGTTGGAGCAGGAAGAAATTTCATCCTTTGTCATACACAGGCCTACAAGCCAATTGCGGATCGCAGAGCTCTGCCTAAAGGCATTAAGCAACTTCATCGACAATGCGCCCGGCAGACGAGGATCGGACGCACGTTCTCTGCCAATCACTGCAGAGAGCAACATCGCTGACTATGCCGCAATATACTTTTCTGACCATCTGAATGATTGCGCTATAGGAGACCCCAGCATATGGGATTCACTCCTGAAGTTTATGGAGTGTACTGCATTGCCCTGGATTCAGTACCTCGCTGAGACAAGGAGACTACAGTATGTCACGCACACCGGCAGGAACATGGCCTCATATTTGGCATACAACAGTGAAAAGATGCCTATATCAAGCGAAAAAAAGAAGCAGCTACGGAAGTGGATACACGATTTGCTGAGAGTGAATGCCAAGTTTCGGGTAGCCTTGGACACTTGCCCTTCAGCGATCCATACAGTCATTCCATCACTCTGCCCCCCGGAGTCAATCATATCGAGGCAATACACTTTGCGACCTCGTGGCATCATCCTCAAAGGCCTTGAAGATGATGGCTGGAGTGAATGCATGTCTCGAATTGATTATGGTAGCTCACGGACGACTGCAATCGCCCATGGGAATTCTCACTTTGCTGTTTCCTTGTCCGATGGAAGTATCACTCTTTATCTTTGGGAATCACTGGAAACGAAGGCCATTTTTACTCACGAAGAGCGAGTGACATTACTTAAATTTAGTGATGATGACCAGTACTTGGCCTCCAGTGGCCGGCGCAAAATCAAAGTCTGGGATTTGCAGACATTAAGACAAGTGCGAACTTATGATGTCTCGCACCAACCTCTAACCGTCACATTTCATGAAAATAGCAGTGTTTTAGTGGCCGCTACTCGAGGAAATTACATAACTTCTTGGACCCTTGAAGACGAAAAAAGCTCGGGAGACACACTTCCATGGACCCAGCGTTTTCAAGAAGTAACAGGACAGACCAAACCAACTCAGCCTCCAGCAATGGCTCTCTTGTCCAATGGTGGCTCTTATCTTGCAGTCAGCTACAAAGGCCGACCGGTATATGTGTTTGAGATGACGACATCGTCTCTCGTTCAAGCCTGTTACAGAAACAGTAATATGGCCATAGAATACACTGTCGATGGCATGGTATTCAACCGAAATCACAATCTCCTGGTAGTCTCGTATGGCGATGGAGAGCTTGTGGTCTATGACCTGTATACCGCTGAGTTATGCTACCGCAGACAGAATGTCTATGCTCATACTCTCGCCTGTTCTCCAGATGGTCGTAACCTTGTCACTGGCAGCTCTAGTGGCACTTTGAGTATTTATGAATTCACCGGGGCCCAAGGGACAAGCCTAGCTCTCATACATCGAATCAATTCGTCTGAAGATGGTATCCGCGGGATTTCATTCAGTGCCGACAGCCTGCGGTTCGCTGATATCCGTGGTTCTCAGTGCCGAGTATGGGGACCAGAAATAATGATTGGGGGAGAGCACGAAGATCATAGTGAAAGCGACTTCAGTCAAGCAAGGACCCTGGAGACTACTTCAAATCATGTGGAACGAGCCGCGGACGTTCAAATAACAGCAATCTGCCCGCACCCAGATGGAAGGTACCTATTCTGTGGAAAGGAAGATGGATCCGTCATGTGCTTCGACGGACAAACTGTGCAACCGAAAGAAGTTTGTCGGCACGCTCTGGGTATTAGGATAAGCTGCATGGGCTACTGCAAAAGTGCCGGGCTGCTTGTCACAGCAGACGAATCCAGTCGCATCCTTGTGTCCAAAATAGAGCCCAGCTCGGATGGGGATGAGCTGATTACTACTGTGAGCGAAATACGATCTGAAGAGCCTGTTTTGGATCTGCTGTTCAACGCCAGCGGAACGAAGGTGCTGATTGAGGGAAGACACTGGGTCAAGGTGTGGACGTTGTCTGAAAACAAGGTTGACTTTCGTCTCCGTCTAGATGACTTTAGCCATGACCACGAAATTCTTCAGCACCCTCAGCATCCAGATTCGTTCTTGGTTTTAGGTGCCGGTCAAGCCTATATGTACATGTGGGACCGTTTTGAAGAGACGACGGGTGAAAAGTGTCTGGAGAAAAAGCCACCCAACGATGATAGAAATGACTGCATAGCTCCACGGCTTGACACCTTGAATCAATTCAGAAGGCCAATGAGTGCTGGGCAATACATTGCTACGATCGGCGAAAAGTATGCATCCAAGAAGGACCCGCATCCCAAGCTGAGGGTTTGGGAGGCAACTGAAATTCACCCGGACAACAAATGGCCTAATGAATATCCTTTACCAGACTTCGAGCATATATCCAGCAAAATATATCAGATTATCGGTGTCTCTGGGGGCCTAATTCTGTTCGTGGATAGCGACTTCTGGGTTTGTACTGTTGATCTGGCTCAATGGAAAACCAACAGACAAGGCGCATGGCGGCATTTCTTACTTCTATCGGAGTGGAAAGGAAACAGCGCAAAATTCCTTATTGAGTATCTACCCTGTACCCGCGAGTTCATGGTAGTACAGAGGCATAACGTGCTTGTTATTAAGCGCGGGCTCGATGTTGCGGTGCCGCTGAAATGGCCTGCAGCACTTTGTAGCGTTACCTCGGAATAAAACAGACGAACCAGAACTCGAGATAAAAGCTTGAAAAGCAGTATCCTGCTACCCTGCACTTGATGATACGGAATTATGGCCACGAACACTGTGAGACTACGTGGCTTTCATCTGTTTTCCAGCTGTCGGCTAGTCTTCTGGATCACCCGTCATCCGTGCTTCACATCCCATAGGCCTGAAAGGAGGATGGCTTTCTTGGCTCATTTGCCTGCATTGCTTCGCTTCTAGTCAAAGATAGCAATAATAAGGCCGACATAAATTTCCGGATGATAATTGGCCATACCTCCCTGTCAGGGCACAGGGCTGACATGCCGGCTCCGATCCCGATTCCGCCTCCGGCCATGAGTCCGACCCCGGTTCCTCCGACAGCAATGCTGATTGGCCCGGTCGAGGTCGGTTCTTTCTTTATTGCCATCTGTTGTTGGTACTTTCTCTGAATCCTTGTTCTGCTACTCTCGAAGGATCAATCAGTAACAGTCTTATAATTTGTTGGTTCCCTTCACAGATGGACAAACTCGACTTCTCTCACCATCCCTTTGATGGTGGTTTGAGGCGGCATTCCGTTGTCTTCACTGAAGTGAGATGCACCGACAACATCGGAGGCGACATGCCTGCGCCAGATGCATTCAATTAAAGGTTAAATGTGTGCCGACCCGAGATTCGGCCCGAGGTACACCGAGTTGCGAACGTTGTATGCGGCTCTCCCAGCCTTGTACCGCCCCAGAGACTCACGGGACTGGCAATTACAGGTCGGCCTCATCACATTGTTAGGGGGCTATCCGAGGCTGACGCTCTGTTGAATAGTAGGAAAAGCCGCATTGACACCCTGCAGGAGCAAGTGGACAGTTTAGTCACTCAGGTGGCATTAATGAAGGTACTTGCTCCAATTCTCGGCAATGGACCAACCTATTGAATCTCCCTTACCAGAGAAGTAGTGATGACAACCTACCTTTTCGAACACCAAAACATAGATCACACCTCAGCGAAGATGATTCACATTATAGCAATCATCATGGGTTACCTGCTAGAAACTCATCATCAGAAACGGATGCAGAAATGGACTTTATCTCTCGTGGGCTTTTCACATTCCTGGAATGTGAAGAGCTACTGGCAAAGTTTCGCTCGCATAAGATGCCCATGTTTCCCTTCGTCATAATTTCCACTCAGCTGGGTGTTCCGTCACTTCGGCAGCAATTTCCCTTTCTCCTGTTGTGCATCGTGACCGCCTGCCTGGAGCACAAACCATCGTTACAACATAGGATGGAACAAGAAGTCAGGAGGTCCATCGCCACTCGCTTAATAGTCAACTTGGAGAGGAGCTTGGATCTGCTCTTAGGAATTTTGGTCCACGTTGCCTGGAGTTATTATCACTGGCCTATCTTTAATTCTCAGTCTTCTATGTTTCTGCAAATGGCGGTCATGGTTGTTGGGGATCTAGGATTGGACAAAGGAGACTTAAATATGCAGGCTTCTCCGTTTAACAGCCAGATTGCTAACCAGGTAGAGATTGATAGCGATTGCTGGACCTCGGCGGCACAGCGGGCTCTTCTCGGATGTTATTATCTTTGTTCGAGGTGAGTTAACAGGACTCCCCTTCTTTCGGAATTAGAAGCTTACATTTATGATATCCATAACAGATCACTGTTCTTTCGAGGACAGCTAGCCATGAAGTATACTGAATGGATCAAACGGTGCACTGAGATGCTTGCACTAAAGGCAGAATACCCTACCGATGTAGTGCTCGGGGTTTATATCAAGGAGTGTACACGCTGCCGGACTGATTGGTCGCCTGTTGGGAAGCATTCCTCGGGGGTAGATGAGACCATGGCCTGGCGGAAGCTATCTGATTCCCTCGCACTGCAACAAAAGCATACAGAGGAACTTCTCCGTAACCAAAATCTGTGGGACAACTGTGAGTTATTCCCAAGAATATAGTGCTGTGTCAGGTACTAATATTCACCCAGGGGCTGTGCGCCTAGAGCTTAGTGCAACATCAATACTAGTCCTTGGACGGCACCACTGCATTCCCTACTGTGATCTACAGCAGCTTCAAGCATTATCCTCGTCAGCATACAACACTATCAACATATTTCTCGCAATACCTTCACCAGCGCTGGTTCACCTGCCCGCTTCATCATACAATATACTTTGGTACAGCCTTCTGCTTCTTTCCAAGCTTCACTTGCTATTTCATGCGCAGTTCGACATCCCTGGAATCAGAAGACATGATATACAGGGCATTGGACTTGCCCTGATGAAGAAACTGGAAGGTAATTTGCGAGAAGATGACGCTTTGATGAACTGCAAAACAGTGTTGAGAAGCATGTTGGCTTGGCTGGAAAATACCACATGTGAGCAGCAGCAAGGACAGGTTGATCTCTCGATACAGGGATTGGGATATGAGCACGAGAATTCTCAGCTGTATCATCTTAGTCCCAGTTCTTTGCGGGGACACGCAAACAAAGTGACTGGTAGCCAGTGGGCTATACGTGGACCCCGTTCTCTGACTGCATCGCATGAATCACCTTCAGTGTACTCAGGAGGTGAAAGAGGAGATCGGGAGACGGCTTTGTGGGAGAATATGTTGGATGAATTCGACTGGCACGAGGACCCACCCGGCTTCGTTAGTAAGTGACAATATGGCGGCCGGTCCAGATTTAATGTAACTATAAGTAGAGAAAACTACAGGTACACACTATCTTCGATTGATAAGATACGAGTCAAGAGCTCCACAGCTAACCATTGGTTCAGGAGCGGCACAGATGATCGGCAGTGTCCCCTGCACAGTGCACACAGCGGCAGTGGGACATGTCGCCCCTGCTCGAGCCAAACAATCGCTCTTTGAGGATGATCCGGTTCTATTAAGATAATATGATGATTATCTAGTACTTTGTGTATATGATGAACCGAGCGCTCGCGAGGGTAATTTTCTATGTATAAATCTGCGCCAAGGTGCCTTTGTCACTTGATCGGATATCCTCCTTGTTTCACAGCCAGATGTTGAGCAATAATTTCACGTGAAGCACTTGAAGGAGATGATTTCCGTAACGGCCACATGATATCCGACGTTTCACGGATTTAACCCTGGAATGGCAGCGGGACGACGGGGATTCTGCACAAACTGGGGCCGCTGCCGATCCACTCGCCAACCCGATCCAGCAGCATCCGCCGATGTATGACGAAGCCTTCGGCGGACGGAGCTGATCTTAACCTCCGTTCCTGAACATTATATAGACATGGAACGAGCCGTCGGAACTGTGTTCCTGGCCAGACCTCTTGCGTTTTACATCCACCATGCGTTATCTCACCCTTCTATCCGCCCTCGCCGCCGCCGCGCTGGCCCAGACGCCCCCGGGCAGCTCCCCATCCACCAACAAGAACTTTGGTGTCGCCTTTCCCAATGCCACCGTAACCCCTGGTACCTGGGTGAGCCCAGATGGTACATACTCCGCCCCTTATACGGTGTAAACTCTGAACTAACTCCGAGCGAAGATGTCACCAGCCAGCCGGCCATCTATGTCACCGAAAACTTGAACAAGGATGCCACCTACATGGTCGTGATGCTCGACCTCAACATCCCTGATTCGGATGTCACCACCGCCGCTTACTACGACACTCTTGTCCCTGGACTGGCTGTCAACACCACCACTCGTCTGCACTGGTGGGGTGGCAACTACACTATCCAGAACGGACGTTTCGTTAACTCCAGTGATGCTATCTCCGAGTATACGGCTCCTCGTCCCCGCGACAGCACCAACCACACCTACACGCTGTATCTGTTTGATCAGCCCGAGGGATATGTGCCTTTCGAAGAGGCAGCGAACGGGACTTATTACTCGCAGACTGCTTTTGCGCGGTTCAACTTCACTCTGGAGCCGATTTTGAAGGCGGTTGGGGGGCCGGTTGCGGCGAATTACTTTTTGAGTGATGAGATCTAGACTGTTACATAGCCTAGACTGGTCATATCTATGCTTTGCGGTCAGCTCTTTGTGTACTAGTGTATCATACCCGTGATTGAATCTTTACTATGCAGAAGTGTATAAGGCTCAGTAACAGCCAAAAGGCACGAAGATGGGTGCAATGTAACCATTACCTGATCCGCTAGGCATGAAAGAGATCTTTAATTGTTGACGAAACGAAATGAGATGAGCCCTAATCGTGATCAATATATGGGAATATTCTTGTACTTGCGACACGCTTGAAACTGGATCAACGACGACATGAGAACTGAGTCCCACACTACCTACCTGAAGTGGTTCTATCAAGTGAAGCTTATTGATGATGCGCATTCTTGGCTCCAAGACTCAGATATCCTGTCTTCTATTGAATGGTTGAGCGGTTAGCTCCAATGCACGACTGGCGAATTTACGCTTAAAATGCACTAGGAGCGGGTTCCGAAAGGTGTCAACACAGGGTTGAACAACTAGCTCAGACATGGAGTTATACTATGAATTGAAAATGAAGTCTGTTAAATTCTCCAGTATTGAGAAGGACAATGAATAGTTCATAGTTATGAGGTTAATAATATCCAACCTGTTAGGTCAAGTTCACTAATCGAAAATGCAGACCCTCTATTGTGAGCCTCGGCAGAGTGGAGGCCACTAACTAACTAATCCATCCTTGGCAGCCAAAATAAATGCCCCTCCGTGAACCACCACCCATAATCATTTAGTTTAAACTCTACTACTACTTCTTTGATCATAAGGTGTCCCCAATTATCCCCATCTCACTAACTACCAACAAAGCCAAGGTCCACCGTGATAGGGTGGTTCGTCAATCCCACTGCTTACGCTGACACTCAACAAGCATCCAACAAGGCTGAAAGCTACCCCTCCAAACCCCCATCCATATATTTACCCCAATCTCACCCTACTCCCCCCCCCTTCAAGTGCAACCGTCAAACATCTCCCAGGAAACAAAATGGCATCCATCGTCTACCCCAACCTAGCCAAAAAGGCCACTCTCTCGGACGGCACCACCTACGGCTACGTCCACGTCCCCGCCACGGACGGAAAACCCACCTTCCTCTTCCTCCACGGCTACCCTTCCACTAGCTATGACTGGCGACACCAAATCGCATTCTTGCAGAAGAGCGGATACGGTGTAATTGCACCTGATTTGTTGGGCTATGGCGATACCGACAAGCCGACGGATCTGAAAGCGTATCGTATGAAGGTGATGAGCCAGCAGGTGGTTGAGATTCTGGATCGCGAGAATGTCGCTCGGGCGGTGTTGGTCGCACATGATTGGTATGATACCTGTCCTATAATCTCATATAAGTATGTCAATTGCATGAATATATACTAAAAGGGTTAAGGGGCGTCGGTCTCGCCTCCCGCGTGGCTTATTACTATCCCCAGCGGTTCTACGGTTTCGTGAGCATTGCGGTCGCGTATAATGCCCCTGGGCCGAAGTTCGATCTTGGTATGCATCCTATCTATTACCCATATGACTATCGAGGATAAGATTCTGACAGCGGTAGACGGTCTCCTCAAACACACCGAATCCCTCTTCGGATACCCCGTCTTCGGGTACTGGCTTTGGCATAACACTGACGAAGCAGCTGATGAAATGGCGGCTCATGTACATCTATCCCCCCACTCCTATTGATTCTGAACTATATACTAATAAATAAACAGCCCGAATCCGCTTTCAACCTCATCTACCCGCAAGACCCTGCGATGTGGAAAACCGACCTCGCGCCCATCGGCAAAGCAGCCGAATGGGTCCGGTCTGGCAAAACCACGCCTCTCCCGTCCTGGCTCACCCAGGAAGACTACGATATCCATCATCGTATCTTCTCGGAGGGTGGATACGCCGGTCCGCTATCGTGGTATAAGGCCGCGATTCGCGGCATCAATACCGAAGATGAAGCGGGTATTGAGGGTGGAGTGGGAAAATGTGCCGTGAAGAATCTGTATATTGCTGCTAAGCAGGACTATGTTTGTCGGATGGAGGTGGGGTCGCATATGACGACTACGAATGTGGTGGATTCGAGGATCGAGGTGGTGGATGCGGGTCATTGGGTACAGTTGGAGAAGCCGGATGTTGTGAATGAGTTGTTGGTTGGGTTTGCGGAGGAGGTTACGAAGTAATTAATTACATGACTATTCCAAATCCAAGGTACATAGGGAATCTTAGCGATGAGCTTCATCATCTGCTCTTTTGAGCATGCAAGCTGCGCTCGTAATCAGGCATCACCCACTTGGATACCCATTCCGAGTGCAGCACCTCTTCAATCGTTAATCTCTCTTCCGGCTTGAATCTCAACATCCCCCGCATCAGCTCTAAAATAGCAGCAGTCTCATCATCATCAAAATCCCCTACTCCACCCTGCCGTCGATGCTCCCTCACTCCCTGCTCAAATGCCAGGTCCAACACAGGCCATACCTCGCGGCCCTCCACTGGACGCCCATCTTCGTTTAAGAAGTAGCTCCTCTCTACCCAAGCACTAAACCACGCCTGCGGCATGGGCCCAAGAACATCAATTTGCTGAGACGTGACTTCATCCTCTGGCGCCTCAGTGCTGAAAATAGCCTTCATGCCTAGAATCTCCCACACAGCAGTAGCTAAACTCCAAACATCCGCAGGGTACGACAGAGGCGCCTGGGGCTCAAACAGGGCCTCTGGCGGGTAGTAAGGCACAGGGGTGTGGCAATACTCTCCAGAGCGAGGGGATGAGATCGGGGAAATCGCCTCGCCGAAATCTCCCAGAAGAACCTGGGCGTCTTGCAAGGTGAATTCCTCGGCTTTTTTTCCGAGGTAAAGAGGTAACACTGCTTTCGGTGGAACATGGGGTGGAAGTGAGCCTCCATCGCGCTGTGTGATTGACACCGTCTCAGGCTTCCCATATTGTTCGTAGAATGCCTCAGTAGAGAGACCGTCGAAGCTTGCTGGTAGCTTCACTAAGATATTGCGAAGATGGATATCTTGTTTTTATCAGCATTTGCTTGAATAAGTGGAACTAAGGGATTGACACTGAGCTTACCTCCGTGAACATAGCCTTGTGAGTGCATATATGCGACAGCTAGTACAAGACCCCCCGATAACGCACGCGCAACTTCAAGAGGGAAAAGACGGCTGAAAGAGACTTCTCTGAGGTTGCATCGTGCGGGTGTCGTCGTATAGCATGGATGCGTCCCGTTGGGATCAGTCACCTCGAATTCATCTAACGGTACTGGGATGGAGTCGCGGCCCGCGCGAACAGACGGTGGCACTGAAGTGGGCGCCGAAAGAGCCCGCAAAATCTTGGTTTCATGCGGAAGGGAATTTGCTATGCCTACTTTGACAGCGACGTAGTGTTCCAGGTGGGTGTCGCGGGCGAGCCAAACGGTCGAGTATCCCCCGTACCCGAGCTTGTCGACGATGCGATATCGGCACGTAGTAAATCCCCTATCATGACGGGATGGTAGCCGCCGGGTCTATATTTCTCGAGAGACTCGGCCCCGTCGACCCAATTGTACTTGGAGTATGACTCGCTTGATGAGTTGTCACTGCCTGACGTCGTGGAATAGTGGGCGCGAGACTTTGAGTTGAATTGATGTCTTGGATAAGTATTGAGAAGTGGGTGACACCGTGAGGTTAAGGGCTGAAGCACTCTGCATGATGAGAGAAAGGCTGGACAGACCGACTTAATGCCCTGGGTGTTGAAGCTGGCCACTGCGGAGAGAGCTATTCCTGGTTCTGGCTGGTGCAAATCGTATTTGGGGAGTTGGTATTTGAGGTGGGGATTTGTTGTGTAGGATGCGGTGTTGCGCGTGAAAGAAATGGGTATAGAGTGTTTGACGCGTAGGGGAGGCCATTGTGAGGTTTTTGGTATTACTCGAGAGATGCGTAGCATTGATAACGCGTCGTGATGGCTGGTGAGGGGTGGTATTGAAGTGGTTGTCTGTTGTTGTTATGTATGGAGCAGTGATGCGGCAGATCTACCAGGGGTCGTCGATCCCTGTGTCACCTGTCACTCCGTGGACATAGAATGGTCATTCAGTAGGTAATAGTAGATGTGATAGGCGATAAATCTTCTACTAGGATATGCAAGTCTCACATATACTCTTATAACATCCAATTGATCTGCCTCGATTCTTCAAAGCGCAAAACTAACCCCACATCATCCCCCCCTCTGTAGGGTAGATCATCATCAACATCAACCACTGAAATCACCTCTTCGTCTCCCTCACCTCTCCCAACACCACAATCCCCAGCTTCCCCCGATCCGACCATCCATGCTCATCCTCCTGAATTGCTCTTGCAATCTCCGGCTCGCGCACTTTCGCCTGAAACCGCTCGAACGCAGCCTCGTCATCGAAAGTCAATTCCGCTATCGAGTCGAATGAGAAATCACTCTGCTGTCCGAGTAGCACGGTGGTAGGATATGTCCCCTCTGAAGATGGAGTAGTAGGACGATCAATATAGCTTCGTCGATGGGAGAGGGGAAAATCAGGACCCGTAAGACGCTTGACTAGCTCGATGTGCGCTTCTAGACGGGATTTGAATGTTGAGGGGGAGGTTTCTGGGAGGCGAGTGGCCTTGAGGAGGATCTTGAATGGCATTTTGATTTCCTTGCTGTGTTTCTTGGCTTAAATGTTTGAACTGGTTTTGGTTCTTGGTTTGGGGTGTGAAACTGGGTTGGTGACGGGGGGATTGATGGGTTGATGGGTCGGTGGGTGGGGATCACCCCTTCTCCATGTAAGGGGGTTGGATGACGATTCGTTGCTTGGCGGATTTGTTACATTCTACGCTGACTACATAGCTGGATAACAGTATATATACAAGTATGAAATTTCCTGTCTAAAGGTACTGCAGTTAATGCACCTAAAGTTTTCCAAAGTATAGGTCACAGTTGGACAATAAGGTAAGCAAGTGAGTGTAAGAAAGGATAAGCAAGATTTGCAAATGAATGTAAGAAGGTAATATAGCAAGCGAGTGTGTGAAGCATCGTACAGAAACAAGAGAGTGTGGAGGCATCGTGCAGAAAAGGAAGGAGGACGAGTCAAAGATTGGCAGCAAAGCTCAGCTCATGCTCGGGGTTGATAAATTAGTAGCAGCCCTGCTAATAAGCAGGAGTTGCCTTGGGCATGACCATCATGGTGGACGGGGTATAGGCAAGAACTCCTGGTGTGCGAGAAGGCGTCGCCGCACTAGAGGCGCAGGAACTAGATGTCTGGCTGGATGACCACAGCGCATTATCTGCCACACCACCATACCAAATTTGCCACACAGGCTTGTTGCAGGCGTTATCGTTGTACTGGAATAGCCAGCTATTTTCACTGTCCGTACTAGTAGGCGTGTAGTAGTACTCAGCCGGCTCAGAAGACAGCCCAAGAGCTTGGTTGACTGTTGATGCGATGCGCGAGATTTGAGACGCGTACTCTGCGCCTTGTCCGGTGGCGGCAACAGGCGTGCCAATGTAGAGCTGAGTGCCAGGGTCGGGGTACGCGGCGGAGCCCGTGAGCTGTGGCAGCTTGAGGTTCACATCGCTCGTCAGGTAGCTGATGATGTTGGTCTGGAATGCCTGCTCGTTGAAGGCGACAGTGCCGTTCTGGCTCGACACGAATCCGGGGGATTCCCACAGGTGCGCCTCGTACACAGCGTACTTGGAGACAGCGTAGAGAACAGTGCATCCGCGAACATTGGCCTGGGAAAGGCTGCTTGTACCGCTGCCAAAAACGACGGATGTAGATGTAGTTATGCCGCTAGTGCTCTTAGCAAGGGGCTGTGCGGTCTGCATCTGGGCGGACATCCAGGTGAGAAAGCTGGAGGCCCTTTGAGTCAGCCCTCTGCTGAATAGGCCGGACCGTCTGAATGACGTGCTCGAGGTATCAATCGTGTCAGTTGACAGGCATTCAGTGCATTGCGGGCTGCACAGCTCCGAGACAGCCGCGCTTGAGCTGGCAGCTGGAGAAGCGGAGGATGAAGTGGCAGGCGAGGTAGTGGTAGCTGAGCCATCATCAGAGTTACCAGAATCATCTCCGGTATCGTCGCCAGAGTCGTCGCCAGAGTCATTTCCGGTGTCGTCTCCAGTGTCATCACCAGAGTCGTCGCCAGTGTCATCGCCAGTGTCATCGCCAGTGTCATCGCCAGTGTCATCGCCAGTGTCATCGCCAGTGTCATCACCAGATTCGTTGCCAGAGTCATCACCGGTATCATCACCGGAGTCATCTCCAGTATCGTCTCCAGATTCGTTGCCAGAGTCATCTCCAGTATCGTCTCCAGTATCGTCTCCAGTATCGTCTCCAGTATCGTCTCCAGTATCGTCTCCAGTATCGTCTCCAGTATCGTCTCCAGTATCATCTCCAGTATCGTCTCCGGTATCGTCGCCGGTATCGTCGCCAGTGTCATCGCCAGTGTCATCGCCAGTGTCATCGCCAGTGTCATCGCCAGTGTCATCGCCAGTGTCATCGCCAGTGTCATCGCCAGTGTCATCACCAGAGCCGTCGCCAGAGTCTTCGCCAGATTCGTCACCAGTATCATCACCAGTGTCATCCCCAGAGTCATCTCCGGTATCATCACCAGTATCGTCTCCGGTATCATCACCAGTATCATCTCCGGCATCATCTCCAGAGTCGTCGCCCGAATCATCACCAGTGTCTTCGCCTGAATCGTCGCCGGAGTCATCACCGGTATCATCTCCGTCATCATCTCCGTCATCCCCAGTATCATCGCCAGTATCCTCTCCGTCATCCCCATCATCGCCCGAACCATCATCAGTCGGCTGGGCAGCTTCAGAGCTAACCGGGGTAGCACTTGTAGAAGTTGCAACGCCGGAAGAAATGACTGGCTTAGAGGATGACACGGTATGAGATGAAGTCTCGACGGCACTGCTACTAGTTATGTGCGCAGATCCCGAGGTTGTGGTGTGGGATGCGGTGTGGGATGCAGAGGGCGATGCAGAATGAGATTCAGGAGTGGAGGTCGGGTGCTCAGACCCTGTGCTTGTGTGATGGTGTGCAGCACTGGAGGACAATTGATGAGATTCAGTGCTCGTCGTATGCGTGTGAGTGCCGCTAGCAGACGACCCTGGGCTTGTGGTATGACTGTGAGTAGAAGTGCCTGCCGCAGACCCCTCCGAGACTGTCTGTGTTGATGTCCCTGGAGTTGGGGTTTGCACAAACTGGCCTCCCGATGCAGAGGTCTCATGAGCCGCGCTACTCGAGGTGCTGTGGCTCTCAGGTGTCTTGGTGCTCGTAGTGTGAGTAGGTGTGGCCTTGGTCGATGTTGAGGTACTGTGACTCTCGGGTGTCTTGGTGCTCGTAGTGTGAGTAGGTGTGGCCTTGGTCGATGTTGAGGTACTGTGGCTCTCGGGTGTCTTGGTGCTGGTCGTATGCGTAGGAGTGGCCTTCGTCGAAGTCGAGGTACTTTTATCCTCAGGTGTCTTGGTGCTGGTCGTATGAGTAGATGTAGCCTTTGTCGAAGTCGAGGTGCTATGTACCTCAGGTGTCTTGGTACTCGTTGAAGAAGTATCCTTGGTCGAGGTTGAGGTACTGTGAGACTCGGGCGTCTTGGTACTTGTTGTGTGAGTAGACGTATCCTTGGTCGAGGTCGAAGTAGAAGTCTTGGATTTTGTGCTCGTCGTGTGAGTAGCTGTGTCCTTGGTCGAGGTAGAACTCTTTGTCTTGGACTTTGTGCTCGTCTTACTCGACTTCTTGCTTGTCTTGCTTGTCTTGCTTGTCTTGCTGGACTTCTTGCTTGTCTTCTTTTTCTTCTTTCTAGCAACCAGCCGAGGGTGCTCGTCTTCATCCACCTCATGCTCAATGGCGGCAGAATCCGACTCAGCCAGCCAAGCTCCTGCTACCGGAGCAGGAGTGATACTAGGGTGAGAGGCTACCACATCGGTAGTGGGTAGATCAGCTCCCCAGGAGCTGGAAACCAGGCTGCCGGCCCACAGGGCCAGCAACAGCGTCCTCCTAAGTGTCGCAGGCATTTTCTGTGTTCACGATGCTTGGAAGACGGAAGTGGAATTGGTAGGTGAAGGCAATCTTATATGATCGCCCTGGTAGCATAGCCGCATAGGAATCAGCCGTGGCATCTTGAAACAGCTTTTTCTAGGGTCTTCGGCCCCATGTGGTGAATCTCTAGCTCATTAGTGACCGATAGATCTAAAGACTGATTTGGAGAGACTATCGAACCCAATGAGTGGTGGCCAACAGTGGGTCAACGGTCCTTCATATGGGGCGAAAATTGTTGCTCATTTGGGCTTGATAGTGTTGGGTCGGACAAACTGGCTGCAATTGACATCTCTCATTCGAAATGGCTAGATTTTATGTGTTTGTCATGCTTCGTTGCCCGGTGCTCGATATCTACAGGTATCCTGTCTTGCATGGTGGTACAGACGTGGAGCAGTGTATCTTCAAGGCTGGGAAACCCGTGGTATCAGCGATTGTAAATCACAAAGCAACCAAGGCAGAATGGGATTTGAGCTAACGAACTAATTGTGTAGCGAATGCGGCTGTAGTATGGGACATTTCATCCAGAGACTAACAAGACTCATGGGACATCTCCAGCTAACTCAGATTGTTCATTGCCCCTGGCGATCATTATTGAGCTAAGAGGATTTGGCCCCATGGCCCCAAATTGTGCTGGAAAGATCAGGTGTTTGCTTCCTGTTTGCTTACTGTTTGCCTGGGGATAACATTTCCAACCAGCCTTAAAATCGCCCCCACGTCAGCGACAAACACTGCCACACTAGCATTGACCAGACATCATCTTTCCCCTTCTACCCTCTTCTTCCATACATCTTCCATCTACCAATAGATACTTTGAACATCGGGGATACCAAGTGGATACCCGAAACTTCGGCGTTAGTGGCCTTCACTAAGGTGTCCCTCTCTCCTGAGCTCGACAAGCGAAGAGCCTGGGAGTTTCGAAGAAATGATTACCCGGCGTGCTCAGCCTGACAGCGCTACTACTTGTGATACACAGAGCCGGTTTAACCGGTGTTGGCTTTCGAGTTTTAGACCTGGCCTTCCATCTGAATGTATGACAGGACTAGTATGCTTGTGTCAGCCCCCGACGCTCATGCAACATGCAACATGCTACATCGTACTAGCTAATCAAAGAAGTGCCTTTGTGTTAGATTAGATGATATCTCTCAATGGCTAACATAATCCCCCTAGAGACGACTTCCTGTCAATGTCGCTGTCTGCGCCAGTCATAACCCCAAATCCAGACCACTACCATCGCTGGCACGCACACAAAACACATGAATCCAATTACAGTGAAGGCCCATCCATTACCGATGGCGTCAATCATAGGAAGGATTGCAGCTGCTGCTCCAGCTCCGAGCCAGCATCGTGTGAGATTCATGGCAGCTGTTGCCATCGCCGGGCTCTCGGGGTAGATATCAACCATCAACGCACTCAAGGTATTCATTACTGCTGCAGAAGTATACCCGATGAGAAGAAGTAGAATGAGTGGGCCTGCAAGATTGGTCTCGTAGTGCAAAACCCAGCCATACGCAATCATGCTCAATGCTTCCCCGATTGCCTGCGGCAAGACGACTTCAGCACGGGGGCGTTCGATGGCGAATTTGTCCAAGTCAGGTCGGTGATTGCTGGAAATATCAATGCCTTGGCTGTGTGCGTGCCGTCGATAGTTCCAGTCCGTTATTTTTCCTTGTGTA